GAAATGAAAAAGATAACAATACATGAATAAATGATTCAACACAAGATGTGACTTGATGGATTGAGATGGTGAAGATAGCAAGGAAAGGCTTCGAGGTACTAAGCAAGGGTGAAGGGCAAGCGACGGCTTGGCGGCCGAAGAACCTAGCTAGGGTGAAGAAGGAAGTACTTGCATTTAGTTGATGTACTAATCAAGCTATGATGGCCATGCTTATGTGGAGGATCAAATGAGTCAGGAGTTCCGACACCTCACATATTTTAAACCCAGTTACATGGTTTTCAAATTTGATGAGGGTCGGGAGTTCCGACACTCATCGGGAGTTCCGACGCCTCACATTGTCTCTGTAACTTAGTTACCGTTGGCGCAGTGTAAGTTATACCGGACGTGTCCGGTATACATACCGGACGTGTCCGGTATTGCAACGGCTATAAAACGGCTAGTTTTTCCAAGGAGGTTATAAATACCCCCAAGCCTCCACCTTTGGAGGCTGCTGATTCTGCTGATACACACACACGTTTTTGAGCCTTGCCAACTCTCTCAACCCTCTCTAAGTGAGTGTTTGATCAAATTTGCCAAATCAAATTGTGGGTTGAGTGAAATTCAAAAAGAGAGCAATCTAACCACTTGAGCACTTGTGCATATTGTCTATCTCATGATTTGTATTTGTTACTCTTAGACTCTTCGGTCCTAGACGGCTAGGCGTCGCCGGAGAGCACCCAAGAGATTGTGGTGTGCCTCGGAAAATTTGTAACGATCGATTCCGTCGCCTCGGAATCAATTAGTGGAAGGAGGAAAAGGAGTTGGAAAAGACTCCGACTAGAGTGACCTTTGTGGTACCCTGTAGGACTGACCTTCGCTGGGTCGTCCGCAACCCCCTCAACGGAGAGTAGGACTCGAACGAGTCCGAACTTCGGTAAAACAAATATCGTGTCTCAATTCGCATTTCATTTGATATTTGTGTTGCTCCAGCTCTTATGCAGGTTCTCTGTGTATATTTATATCTCTAGTAGGTACCTGCACTTTGGTTTAAAGATAGAAATCGAAAGCAGCAAGTTCGGGGCTGTTCTGCAGAAACCGTGCATACCGGACACGTCCGGTATTCATACCGGACACGTCCGGTATTAGAGCTCTGTGCTGAAAATATTTATTCGCAGTTCTAACTTTGTGTTGCAGGGTTATAGCTTCTAGATACATTCTTTTATACCTTGTATACTAGGTGGCTAACTTGTGAGGGGTGGTATTACTCTTATATGGAGTTTCCATTTTGGAAACTCCCTTTACTAATCGTTTCCGCATTTAAAGGTGTTAATTTTTAGAAACGACTATTCACCCCCCTCTAGGCGGCATCCTAGGTCCTTTCAAAAACAAAAATAAGCTCGTTCCTCCTTCTCTGCTCTCCCTATGCATTAATTATTACCGCCGTTGTACGTTTAGGCCAGTCTCAGTGGAAGTTTCAGGTAAGTTTTATTTGTATTAAATATGTTGTCACATAGGCATTTTTATGACATGACATGACAGTATATTTAAGAAGAGAGAGAAGAAATGCTCACGATTACCAACTATCTATGACTCATGAAATTAAATGTCTATAAAACTATAGACCAAAACTTTACATCGAGAGTGAGTGTTTCATCCAAGTCTCATTTCATTCTATATGTATTGGAAACAACGACACGAAACTATTTTCTGAGACTGGCCTTATGCTATGCCACCACTACGCTTCGTCGTAATGTCGTGCGCCTCATCGGCTTAAGCCTTCCTCAATTCTCTATGGCACCAAGGTTAGAGATCTAGTCTTCCTCATCAACACCTTTCTCTTATTGCTCAAGGCCGATGCCCCTTTCTCTTCTTCCTCACATTCAACACCCCTTTACACCCTCTTCCCTGGTCCCCCCCCCCTCTCTCTTTTTCATCGTGGCTGGTGGCGCATGGCCCCTTTTCTTCTTCCTTGTGGACGGCGTCCCCTTCTTTTCTTCTTCCTCGCATTCCTGACCGGCGTCCCATTCTTTTCTTCTTTCTTGTGGCTAAGACCCCATTCTTCCTTTCTTTCTCGTGGCCAGGACCCCCTTCTCTCTTCTTCCTCACTGTACGGCGAGCGATGGAAGCATCGTTCTTGCAGAAGGTGGCCACACACATGACCAACTTTCAATTCTATAATTTTATACATCCACACACGGATCAAGTTGGGCTGGTTCCTACAACAAAATTTAAATTGTGACCCATTTTAATATCATAACTGATTTGGTATTGAACCAAATTTAATTCCATACCCTTCAATGCTTATATCCAAATGAAGCCTTAACTCTATCTTCCCAAACACATCCTAGGGTGCCACTAGGACCCCTATCCGTCGACGGTCCTCTGCCTCCCATAGCCGTCGTTCTATAAGCCATCATATCTAAGTTGGGGACAAAACTCTACTTTCAATCACGTATAATCCGACCGTAAAAAAATGAGCAATGGCATGAATATCGACACGTAGACCATTGCGCTGAACGCCAATGCATTACCACATCATAGCAACAATGCCCAATGACAAAGCTAGAGAAGTTGTTCCAAAGGATATATAGTTCGCAAACATTCAGCCATCGCTAAAACGAGATAGAGTTTAAATATTCACAAAGAACTGCGACCACATTATAGAGATATCACGATAATCTAGTGAAGAGCAAAATCAATGCTAGTTGTGCAAAAGAGAGATCACGACGAGAACAGCCTGCGAGGACGAAAGCGTCGGCGTCTTCTCACATCGCAGCGGCGCCTCCTGTCGTGGGCACGAGCTCGAGCGCGCGCACTAGGGGCCTGGTTGCTTGGTTGAGGCCGAGGCAAGCGTTTCCCCTCGATCCCTCATTGCTGCGCGTTGCGCACCTCCAACGCGCACTGCGACTGGAATAAGGGCACAAGGGACGCCGGCTCCGCCATTGGCGCCGACAGCGCCGGGTGCCGCCACCCCGCGCCGACCGCGGGCGCCGGCGGCCTGGGGGAGACGTCGTGCGCCTGGCGCTCCCCGCTGCCGCCGTGCCGGGCGGCGCCACGCAGCAGCTGCTGCTGCTCGGCCCCGCTCCTGCCCTCGGCCAGCTGGTCCCCTCCTCCCTCCTTCCTGTCGGCGGCCCCCGCCTGGTCTGCCTCCCAAACCGGCACCGTGGGCGACACGACGAGCGGCGACAGAAGCGGGATCGGCGCTCTCCCGTCGCCCCACACCGCGGGGCCCGCCCCCGTCCCCGCACCGGCGGCGACCTGCTCCAGCTGCAGCGACGCCGGCGCATGCTTCTGGAGACGGCTCGGCGGCCGTTTCTTGCATCCGGAGCCTGAGGCGGACATCTTCATCTCCATCGACTGATGATGAGCGGGTGGATTATTGATCCTACTCTCGCTTTCCGCGATCCCCTCCTCGCGGCGACTCGCTGATCTTTCGTCTGCCCGGCTGGCTTCTGTAGGGAACTGCCGTAGGGTACTCCTACATGCGTGCATGCGGAGCTCGTGGGATGGCTATGACTATAAAGGGCGGAGCGGTGGCGAGTGGGTGGCCGGGTTTGGAGGAGAGGGGGGGCGGCGTGGATGGTGGGGAGGGATCGGTGCGGCAGTTCCCTTGTTTTGTGTAACGCTCGCTCGCTTCCTGCAGTCGTCTCCCAGCGAGATGCCTGCGGTTAGTTTCTGACTTCTGAGGCTCTGATCGGATTGGGATCGGCGACCGCCTTGGGATATGTGATCGTAGACTCGATTTGATCCGTTTGTTTTTTTTAAAAAAAATGTGTCGCCTGTCACGTCACTTGGGGGTCGATAGAAGTTTTGGCACGTCAAAACTTGGCCACGTTACAAATAGTTGGGATCGTACGACTGATGAATGATAAATAAACGTTACGTAGTTCATTGAACTGACAGTACAGCAGAAGACGGCACAGTAAAAAAATCTGAAATTGCTGGGCAAGGTTGATTATGTTAATAACAAGTGCTTATGTTTTTTTTAACAATTCTTCACCGATACGGCAACGTAGCCTGTGCAAACCAACTAATTTATGCAAATTTGGAAACTACCAATCAGGACCACTAAATGCTGATTCAATGGATGGTGTGAGAGGTGTGATTTTTTGCGCTTAAGCCCCCCACCCGCCGGCCTTTTTTTTGCGCTTAAGCCCCCTCACCTTATTCATTGGATCAGCATCTAGTGATCCTGATTGGTAGTTTCTAAGTTTACACAGGTTGGTTGGTTTGCACCTGATGTGTTGCCACTTTTACACGTCTTTTTCCTTGCAAACATAGATACACTGACACACACAAACCAACTCCATAGAACTTGGAGAAAGCGTCTCTTAGTGGGCCAAGGCGTCGTCAACGTCGTCTCGATGACCAAGAGAGATACATGTCCCCCGTCGTTGTTGTCTCCGTTGCTTTTCGCGTATATACGCCAGCTGTTCCCTCCTCTTGCTTCGGAAGTGCATCGTGATCAATCAAGCACGGAATGGTTCCATATCTCAAGCTCGTGATGGTGTAACACTAACATATATAAACGTTTCTTTTTTCTTTGAATCTATATACACGTTTCTTTGTGCAACTGGATGCCTTGCGAAAGGCGTCTTCATAATAAAGCTGGGATTGAATCCCTAACAAACAGTGGCCTGAAAAACGCGCAATTGCACGTTCTCGGAAGAAAAAAAAACAGTGGCCCTTTATCATCGTATATTACCGGATCGATCACAGCTTCGTCTTTTCGGCCCAGCCCACATCGTGGCCGGCGGCTGGCTAGCCGTGGAGGTGGCCGCTTCCTTTTCCGCACGATTCCGTCCCCCACCCTCTCTTATCCGCTTTCTCCTCCCGCCGCCCCCTCCCGCTTCTCTCCTTTCCCGCAGCCTCACCGCGGTCCTGCTCGTCCACGCGTTCACTTTCAACGCGACGCCGCAGAGCCGAGAGCTAACTCCTGAGCTAGGAAGGTAGTAATGCGTCATTTGGCAGCGACCTCTGCGACGCGCATTTGTTGAGAAACCGCCTACGAACTACCGTCGATGGCGTTCCTCGCGCCTCCGCAGTTCAAGTGGCCCCCTTCCACCCGCGCGGCGGTGTTCAGGGAGCCCTCCGGCGGCGCAGGCTCCCGCCCCAGTCGGATAAACTGCTCTTTCTCCTCCACGGCAGTCGTCGATGCAGAGCGCCTCGAGTGCTTGTCCGTCGAGCCGCCGCCTTCTCCTCACCGGACCCTTCCGGTAACGTCTGTCTCCATCTCGTCCGTCTGATTCAGCTGTAGCTGCAAATCTCAGTACGGGTTGGACTGGCAATTTTCTAAATTGTTCGTCTCGTTCTTCCTTCGATTGCCTCAACCAGGGCTGTTTCGGTGAGGCGCTTCTCAACAAGGAGGCCATGGTTGCGGCTGCGGCCGCGGAAGCCGTCGCTCTGGCTCGAGCGGCGGCCGAAGTCGCCGGAGAAGTCGCCCGGATGGCGCAAAAGGATCACCCGGCGGACTTACCGCGGCGTGATGACACGGAGGACAGCTTCTTGTCAAGAGAGGTCCTCCGCACCGAGGTGGGGTTGGAGGCGAGGCGCGCCGGGCTCGAATTATTGCAGGGCGATGAGTTCAGCAGCATCTTCAGCGACGAATCCGAGGATGACGATGATGACAGCGGGTATAGCATAGCCGTAGCGGTGAAGTCGGCGCGGCGGTCCGAGAGAAGGGCTCGGAGAGTGAGGGCGGCGATGAAGGCGGCTAAGTGTTTCAGCGGCGGGAAGCCCGTTGGAGCGTCCTCCACAAGGAAGAAGCGGTTGAAGGGTTGCCAGACTCCTCTCGGGTGCTTCTATAAGATGACCGGCCTGAGGCTTCTCACGGCGGAACAAGAAGTCGAGTTCTCAGAAGGAATTCAGGTATCATGACTCGCAAATTAAAACATTTTGTGATTTTGTGGTGCTATGCGGAGACATATTAGTAGTAGATTATTGAGTAAAATGTATCGCGATTATTGAGTAAAATGCACCGCGACTCCCTAAACTTTTCCCACATTCTCATCCGGGTCTATGAATTCTCAAAATGATGCTCTTCAACTTTTTAAATGATCTATTCTACTTACTTCGATGCAAGGCAGAGTTCATGTCACTTTCTTAAAGAAAGATCCATTTCAAGTTTACTTTAGTTCCAATCATGGACTTGAATTCTAACTTCAAAAGAACCACTTAAAAAGTTGAAGGACCAGATGATCACTTTGAGTTTATGGAGTATGGACCAGATGAGAATGTGGGAAAAGTTTTCGGACACATGATGCATTTCACTCTTAGATTATTGAGTGGTTGCAATAGTATCTGCGTGCCCTGTGCTAAGTAGCGAGGATAGTGAAATGCAGGGCCGGCCCTGAGATTTTGGGGGCTCAGGGCAAGACTAAAAAATGAGGCCCCTTCCATCTGTTATCACTCGTATTAGTTTGGATACTAAGCTAAGAGTAGTTACCTAACATGCATTACCTATTCTCCTTGCACCATACACTTTCCAAAAAAAAAATTATGTTGTCACATACCTCACCGATGTCTAAATTATTATTTACTTGCTATTAGGATTATCTTGTCACATACTGGTCAACAGAATTTTTTATAATTTTGTTCGAAATGAGACACATCAACTAGTACGGTTGCTTCATAACACACACATTTCTATTTGTCCTTCACAAAAAGCTTGGCAAAATGTGAGAACCAAACTGGTACAGACGTACATTTGTTGGGGGTTCATACATACAAGCAACGCATCAGGCTGAGCTAACAATGCTTATTACTCGGTGATTATTTTCAAGAGATAATTTGGAGAAGTAACCATCAAGCTAGCCGAATGGCTGCATGATGGAGCGGCTGGTCATTGTCAGATAAGAGCGGGAGCAGATCTTCGTCGAGGGCCTCGAGGCGGCCAACGGGATATCCTCCGAGAAGAAGAAAGGGGGCGAGCTTTAGCAAGGCTGTTGACTCTCTGCAAGAAGGATGCGAACAAGAAGGTTGCGAATTTTGCTGCCGAGAACAACCACCTCTGCAAGGGCGTTGACTCCAAGAACGAGCTGAGGGCCGGGAGTCGGAGTTCGCAGCGGCCACTGGGGACAAGCTTGCCGACGCAACGACGAGGCTAGAGTTGGCGAGAAGAAACTAGATGGGAGCGCGGGCGAGAAGGGGAGAAGACAGACGTGCTCGGGGCCCCTGACGGATCGGGGGCCCGGGGCGACCGCCCCGCTTGCCCGCCCCTAGGGCCGGGCCTGGTGAAATGCACAATGTTGCAGCGCAGCTCTGTTCAACCTAGATCATAACCAAACTGCACATTGCACGCATGATAGCTTGTGAAATTTATTCTTGTGTTTGATGCAAATTTATATAGCCATAATTTAGTGTGCTCTTCCTCTTGGCGGCATCAACCATCACCATTCATCAACATTTTCGTCAGATGTTTCTGCTAGTTACCATTGTCCTATTGCCCATCACGTTAAACTTATCATGCATGTCACATTGAATGTATGCAGGACCTCCTGAAACTGGAAGCCATCCAAAAGGAGGTTGCGCAATATAATGGTGGTGAACCAACATTTTCCCAGTGGGCGGCAGCAGCTGGAACTGATGAGAACACTCTGCGGAGACGCCTGAATTATGGGGTTTACTGCAAAAACAGGATGGTGAAATCTAATGTGCGACTTGTAATCTCAATCGCAAAAGAACATGAAGGCCCTGGAATGGAGTTTTCTGATCTAATTCAGGTGCTGTACATGTGTGCTCCTAGAGAAATAAGATTATTGCTTTAATTATATTACACATTCTCATTTCGTTGTCTTCATGGCAGGAAGGGATGCAAGGCCTGATAAGAGGCGTAGAAAAGTTTGATGCTAAGAAGGGTTTTAGATTCTCCACTTACTCTCATTGGTGGATCAAACAAGCAATACGCAAGTCTGTTTTAGAACAAACCCAGATAATTCGCCTGCCGGTATGTTATCCTTCCTCCCTTTACTTTCACCATTTGAATTTCTTGATATTGCTGTCTATGTATCGGTGAAGGCAGCGGTGGTGATGACGATGACGGTACCAACATTCTAATGCTGCATTCTTTTACCTGGCGTTACGTGAGCTCAATTTCAATGTTGTAATTTTTTGTACCTAAAACATTTGTTTCTCTGTTATGTAGGCACATATGGCTGAAGCAAGTTCCCGAGTGAAGGAATGCTGCCGGCGACTCCGTCGTGAGTTGAAACGGCTACCCAGCAACGAAGAGATTGCGGTGGACACTGGCATGCCAATCCGGCGGGTGGAGGCAGCCATGAGCCTCCCAAAATACAGCGTGTCCTTCACGAGCAAGGTCGGGTGCACGGACGTCACATACCAGGTTTGTTCGTCCTTGACGTCCTTCTCATGTAAACGCTACGGTGGAACATACAGCATGACAATAATAATGGCGCCTGAATCTAACGGCCTCCGCTTCGCTTCGTCGACCTGGCAGGAGATCATGCCGGACACGAGCGCCGAGACGGCCGAGGAGGTGCTGCACCGGTGGCTGATGAAGAAGGACGTGAACTCGGCGCTGGAAAGCCTGAGCCCGCGCGAGAAGCTGGTGATGCGGTACCGGTTCGGCATCGAGGGGGGGCGGCCCAGGACCCTGCACGACATCGGGCAGCTCATGGGGGTGAGCCGGGAGCGGATCCGGCAGATCGAGCTGGGCGCGTTCCGGAAGCTGCGGAGCAAGAAGAGGGTGCAGTCGCTGCAGCAATACCTGCAGCCGGCGGAGAGCTGGTAGCCATGTCATCGTTGCACACGGCTTTCCATGACGACTCATATATGTATGCACACAGTACACTGTTCTTTTTAGAGGATTTAACGTATACACGTTCGATCCATTTCGCTGTCCATGTTGTAGTACCAAGTGTATAAAGAAGCTGAAACATTTTTTTAACGCAAAAATACAAGATGTGTTCCAGTAAATAACAACGTGTGAAGCCAGCCGTTTCTGTACTGTGCTGTGCACGGTGCACCACACGTATGACCACCTCGGATAAACACACTGAAAATCTCTTCCAAGTCACGGAATCAGCAAAGAGCAGGTTTTGCAGCTGGTTCTGGTAATCAAATAAAGGCACCAAAAACAGCATCAGGAATAAAAAGGAAAAAGGAAAAAAAAAAAAGCCCAGCAAGTGAGTCTAGCGTTCAAACCGCAGGGCTTTTCGCAAGTTGCAACACGTCATCACGGGCCGCCGTCTGAGGTAGCCACGCCGCCGCGCCCACGGCCCACCGCAGCGAAACCCTCAACAGAAAACTCGAAAACTGGGGGGCAAAAGATAGAAGAGACCCAAACCCTTCCCCAGCGAGGCGAGGAAGACACCCCTCCGGCCCTCCCTTCCCCGTGTGCCCCTCCTCGTCCTCCGTCCTTTCTCCCCCTCGCCGACACCTACCCTCACCGCATCCGCGGCCGCAATGGCGCTAACCTCCCAAGGCATCACCCTGCGTTCCCCGCCAGCGGGCCCCCGCGGCCACGGCGGGAGGCGGTCCTCTTCCGTACCCGCCGCCGCGGTCCCGCGCGGCTGGGGGCAGCCTCACGCGGGGCAAGCCTTATCCATCTCGCCCGCCAGGTACGAACCCGCCGCCCGCCCACCACGGGGAGGCTCCTCCTCCTCCGCCATACGCGCCGCCGCCTCGGCCGGCGCGCAGCCCGGCAGCGACCCGGTTCCCGCCGAGCCCAGAATCGAGCTCCCCGCGATATTTACCGTCTTCTCCGAGGCCGCTAAGACCGGCGCTGCCTTCTTCATCGCCTCATCGGGCGCGGCTTTCCTCCTCGGCTCGTTTGGGGGGTTCGGAGGCGGCGCTGGGGGTCTCTTCGGCGGCGGTGGTGGAGGGGGTGGATGGGGCGCGGGGGGTGGTGGTGCCGGTGGCGGAGGGGGTGGAGACTTCTGGTCCGGGCTGTTCTCCGTCGGCGCGGCGCACGCGGACGACAAGTCCTCGGGGGATTGGGACGCGCACGGGCTCCCCGTCAACATGACGGTGCCGCTCACGAAGCTGAGCGGGCTGAAGAGGTACAAGCTGTCTGAGCTCAAGTTCTTTGACCGGGCAGCCGGCGGCGGTGGCGCCTACACAGGGCCGGAGGATTCCTTCTTCGAAATGGTGACACTGCAGCCTGGTGGCGTGTACACCAAGTCGCAGCTGCTGAAGGAGCTCGAGACACTCGTCTCCTGTGGCATGTTTGAGCGGGTTGATCTGGAGGTGAAGCCCAAGCCGGATAACACAATTGGGCTCACAGTCTCCTTTGTGGAGAGTGTGTGGAGTGCCGCAAAGCAGTTCAAGTGCATCAATGTGGGGCTTATGTCACAGTCAGGGCAGGTTGACTTCGACCAGGACATGACTGAGAGGGAGAAAATGGATTACCTCCGCAAGCAGGAACGTGATTACCAGCAGCGTGTACGGGGTGCCAAGCCCTGCATCTTGCCAGAAAATGTGCGTGGAGAGGTGCTGGGAATGATGAAGAAGCAGGAGAAGGTGAGCGCCAGGATGCTGCAGAAGATCAGGGACCATGTCCAGAAATGGTACCACAACGAGGGTTTTGTGTGCGCACAGGTGGTTAACTTTGGAAACCTTAACACCAATGAGGTTGTGTGTGAGGTGGTTGAGGGTGATATCACCAAGGTGGAGTACCAGTTCCAGGATAAGCTTGGAAATATTGTTGAGGGAAATACCCAGCTTCCGATCATAGACCGAGAGCTGCCCCAACAGGTATACCTGTTACAACCAATCGCTAAAGATATTACATTGATTAGCATATGGTAACGCCTGTGACATTTTATTTTCATCAATGTAACTCAGTGATGAGTTGCGCACTAGGATATTTGGATCAATAATTAAAATATTATGTAGCATGCAAACGTACTTGCACTCAGTGTTAGCCATTGCGTGTGATTCTTCTGGTCTTGTGCTCTCTATGATGATGTTTGGCGTGCAACACAAATACTTGCTCTCTATATATTTTTACTAAACAGTCATTGTCCTGACATGAATTTTCTCCTAGCATGTTTGTGACTTCAGTTGTTAATCTGTGACTACTAATCTTTTACAGCTTCGACCTGGCCACATCTTTAACATTGGAGCAGGGAAACAGGCTCTGAAGAATATAAATTCACTTGCTTTGTTTTCCAATATAGAAGTTAATCCACGTCCTGATGAGACAAAGGAAGGGGGCATAGTAGTTGAAATTAAGCTCAAGGAACTGGAACCCAAGTCAGCTGAAGTAAGCACAGAATGGAGTATTGTACCTGGGCGTGAAGGGCGACCAACTTTGGTAATGTACCTATTTATTTGGAATCATCTGTTCCTTCTGGAACCTTTCTATATAAGGGTGGATCTAGGATTTTACCACACCTAGGGCTGGATTCATGTGTCTCAGACTAGATTGTAGAATTCTTTGAACTTATCTTGAAGTTTGATGATATTTCTATAGGTGTTTTTGTGCTGCACCTAGGGCCATAGTCCTAGTTGCCATAGGTGCAACTCCTCCACTGTATATAATTGCTAGGCTACACTATTTCGATAAAGTACATCTTGTTTGTTACTTTGTTATCTGTCATGAACCTCAGATCTTATGGCTATTTTCTTTTAGGCATCCATACAACCTGGAGGAACTGTGTCATTTGAGCACCGGAACATCTATGGTCTTAATAGATCTATTGTTGGTTCTGTTACATCCAGCAACCTGCTGAACCCTCAGGTTAGTTGCTGATGAATGTTCTTTTGGGAGTTTTGTTGTTTTTCTGATTTTGGTTACTGTTACCTTTGTCACTTGGGGTTGCATTGTATTAGGGGTTATACAGCGTAGCCTTAACCTGCTTAAGCCTATGGAGTTAGCTGTTCTTTGGTTCGACTGAATAGGACGTTATGCATGTGATTGGTTTCCTACGTAAGTGGTCATACTGAGTCTTGGGCTGTAGAGCGGGTGCGGGTGGGAGGGAGGGTGCATAGCTGGATACACAGGATTTGGCCGAATTGTGGGATGCAGGCTGGGCTTGCTTTGAGGACAGTACTAGCCTGCATATGGGCTTGTGCAGGTAACCAAATAGGGATGAATTGCACCACGGGGACCTGGATAAGGGCTTGTGCAGGCAACCAATCAGACCCTTGGTGCTTTATACTTGTAAGAGGAATGTGTTTAACAACGAGCGAGTTCAGCATGGCATTTCTGATCTTATGTTAGTCTGTCTTTCATTAGACTACCATGTGGAAAGTGTGCATTTTTAAGTGTCGACAATTTCATGTCTAAAATTACTGAACAAGTAGAGCAATGACCCTGCATGGCTGCATTAGCCTCCTGAAGGAATTATATTTACCTAGCACTTGTCAATCTTAAACTAGCCTACCCCAACTTGTTTGGGACTTAAAGGCTTTGTTGTTGTTGTTGTTGTTGTCAATCTTAAACTTGATTATTCTCTGTTCTATTGAAATATATTTAAACAGTAACACCGTTAAGAAATACTGGTTTGTTTCATGGTTGGTGATTATTCTATTTGTACTTGATAGGCTAACATCTGTCTAACAGTATTTATTTAGGTCTTTATACTTTTTTGTCAGCAACACCACTTATATTTTTTGACATCGTGCACTTATTCATGTGTATTTTGGGGGATCTTTAGGATGATCTTTCATTCAAGCTTGAGTATGTCCATCCTTATTTGGATGGTGTGGATGATCGTAGTAAAAACCGCACATTCAAAACTAGCTGCTTCAACACGAGGAAATTGAGTCCTGTCTTTGTTGCTGGTCCCAACATGGATGAGGCTCCGCCTGTTTGGATCGATAGAGTTGGATTTAAAGCCAACATAACAGAGGTTTGCTCGAGTTCTTCCACATTTTTTCTATTTTATGAGCAAGTACTGTTCCAGAAATATCTGTAACATGATGAAAAACTGTTTGGATTCTCAGAGCTTCACACGACAAAGCAAATTCACATATGGCCTCGTGGTTGAAGAGATTACAACACGTGATGAAACTAATTCTATCTGTACCCATGGTTCTCGAGCAATGCCTAGCGGCGGTTTGAGCATGGATGGACCTCCCACAACCCTCAGTGGTACTGGAGTTGACCGAATGGCATTCCTTCAGGCTAATATAACCCGTGACAATACTGAGTTTGTGAATGGTGCAATTGTTGGAGACAGATACATTTTCCAGGTAAGCTATCTGTACAATTATGGTTTCAAGGACATACAGTAAAGTGAGCCCTTGACGCTCAAGCATTTGCCTTGTGGCTGTAAGACTCTTTGAAGTGCTACACTCAATTTTGTGAAAAGTAGCAAGGCAGACTCTCTTTGTTATTTTATCTTTTTATTAAATACCGCTTTCAATTCCAAAGCTTGCCACAGTGCACCAAACTTTCATTGATTGATTGCAATTCAATGTTTTTTCAGTACCTTTTTCTTGCCCAGTGCTCTTATTGTTTACAAACCTCTCTTATTGTTTACGAACCTCTATGTTGAACGTTGCACTTGTTCTTTCATGTTTTCATGTTGTTATTTAGTCTTTGCCATGGTAAAATACATAAACTGGGGAATTTCCTTGGTTGCAGTTGGACCAAGGTCTTGGCATCGGAAGCAAAAACCCATTCTTCAACCGTCATCAACTTACTCTGACCAAGTTCATCAATTTAAATAAGCAAGGGAAAGGTGCTGGCAAGCCACTACCAGCTGTTTTAGTTCTTCATGGTCATTATGCTGGTTGTGTGGGTGATTTGCCAAGCTATGACGCATTTGCACTTGGAGGGCCTTACTCTGTTAGGGGCTTTAGTAACGGTGAACTGGGCGCATCTAGGAATATTCTTGAGGTATGCATTACTCACTCTAGATTTTCATTTGATGCATCATTGCATTTTCATCCCCAGTATTATCGTTGGCATTGATTATTCTGGTTTCCTTCATTAAAAGATTACATGTAATTGGTACCGTGGCATCACACAATGTTGTATTGTTTGGTAACTAATGTTTATGTCTGTTAATCTATGCAGGTTGCTACAGAGTTGCGCATCCCTGTAAGAAACACACACGTTTATGCATTTGCTGAACATGGGACTGACCTTGGGAGTTCCAAGGATGTGAAAGGGAACCCTACAGAGTTTTTCAGGCGTGTTGGTCATGGATCTTCATATGGTGTTGGTGTCAAGCTTGGGTTGGTAAGGGGAGAGTACATTGTAGATCACAATGCTGGTACTGGAACCATTTTCTTCAGATTTGGTGAGAGATTTTGAGTACGCTTCATTCCGCCACTGTGGAAGACAGACTTTTGAGGCACTCTGTTTAGCGATGCTTGTGGACTGTGATAGGACTCAAACGGCATTGGAGCTCTGCTGAAATAATGAAGCTATTTTCTGAGGAAGAGTGATAGCTAGTGTGAGATTAGCTTTTCTTTATGTAGGTTGTAAGATCTGTTCTTTCAGAGCTTTGAGCTCATAAATAGATGAATTGTTCAGAAATATTGGCCCAAATTTTACCGTCAATTGTGTTGTTTGTGCTTCTGCTAAATTGTTGAATTTGTTTTGCCGCTCACCATCTATCAGTTGCTTATCTACAGTTTTGTTGCATTTTCAGATTGTGTATTCTAGCTAAAGTATAACTTCCTGTTGATGATGCCCTTGTGTTGGATCTGAATTTTGCCCTTATTGGGCGGCTAGTGCTGACTACTAGCTTCAAATTCAGAACTACTACTGTTGATGATGCCCTTGGGTTAGTTTTAAATACGATTCTTTGGTAGAGCTTGTAGTAATTAGTTAATTTGAAAACAAATAAGATCCATGAGCTGGTGGTTGTCGTGCGTGCGCACATGGAAGCAGCTGACGAACGCTTCCCAGCAAGGCCGCCACGGCCGCGTTCTCCACCTCGTCTTCGCCCACCTCCGACGCGGCGATCGCGGCTTGGTGGACCCGCACCCCGCGGCCGTCCCCACGGCGCTCCGCGCCTGCGCGCGCCTCGGAAACGCCTCCTCTGGCCGCCTAATCCACGCGGTCGTCCTCACCCGGTTCCCGTCCCTCGCCTCCGACGCCGTCGCCGCCACCGCGCTTCTCGACATGTACGCCAAATGTGGCCTCGTCGCGAGTGCCCAGAAGGTGTTCGACGAAATGCCGCGTAGGGATGACTTCGTCGCCTGGAACGCGCTGGTCGCATGCTATGCGCGCCACGCCCCCCCCAGAGCGTGCGCTGGCGCTGGCCATCAAAATGCGGGGCCAGTGCCTGTGCCCCGACCTGATGACATGGAACGCCGTCGTCTCCGGTTTCGCACTGGCCGGCGACGACCAGATGGCCGGGGAATTGATCGGCGCCATGGAGGACGGGTTCCAGCCAGACGTGGTCCCTTGGACATCGCTTGTATCTGGCTCGGTGCTGAACTTTCAGTATGCCAGGGCACGCGTGCTGTTCCGGAGAATGATGACCACTGGCAACCCTGTCCTGCCGAGCTCGACCACGATTGCCAGCATCCTGCCTGCCTTCGCCAATGTCGCTGACGTGAAGCGTGTTGGATATAATATGCGCCTGATCCGTATAATATTTAATAAATCAAATAAAACTCTATGGTACGTAACATTAAGTGTTGTATGGCTTAATACTATACGTGATTTTGACTGAACGCTGACTCAACTTATATGGTTGGAATTTATTCATCTAAATTGAGAAGTTGAGAAAAGGATAAAGGTGTGCCCCGCGCGCCCCGCCGCCGGCCGGGGCGCGGGCCGAGGCCGTGGCGCGGCGAGCGGGCGTGGCCAATTTTTTGCCACTTAATCCATATAATCACGTGAGTTACTCCCTTTGATTGTGGAGGAAAACTGACTGTGTCAGTTACCGTCCCTTCTGCTTCCGCTTCCCGTCTCCTGCGATTCTCTGCTTCCTTCGTCTCCTCCCCCTATCGCAACTATATATCCCGTCTTCCTGTCGCAGCTATATATCCCGTCTTCCGTCAGTCGAGATCCTGTCTTTAGTAACCACTCCCGAGAGAACCACAGATCAGCGGCCTTCTGACTTCCTCGTCCCGTACCTCTGCGCGCACGGAGGAGCGGGAGAGCAGGTGCCTCCGGAACCCTCAGCCGCCTGAGAATCCTGCACGGGGTGAGCGGCGATTAGGTTTTTGGGGAGCGATCCGTGACTGCTCGTCCATCTTCTTCCTGGAGATCGCTCTTGGATCCTGAAAGGATCAAGATGCCCAAGAGGGGGGGTGAATTGGGCTAATTCTAAATTTTCTTGCAATAATTAAATCCTATTGATAGCCCAATTAACCCCTTGTACCTAGAAATTGTTTCTAATGTTCTATCGCACAAATAGACTTGCAACCTAAGTTCCAATCCTACTCTAACATGGCAATTCTAGAAATGTAAATGACAAGAATTGAATTGCTCAAAGTAATGCTCAAAGTAAATGCTCAAAGTAAAGAGAGGAGAAGAAACGCGGTGATGTTTTGCCGATGTATCGGAGAGTCGCCACTCCCCACTAGTCCTCGTTGGAGCACCCGCGCAAGGGTGTAGCTCCCTCTTGATCCGCGCAAGGATCAAGTGCTCTCTACGGGTTGATTCTTCGACACTCCGTCGCGGTGAATCACCCACAACCACTCACATCTTGAGTTGGGTCATCCACAAGCTCTCCGAATGATCACCAAGCTCTCCAATCACCACCAAGCCGTCTAGGTGATGGCGATCACCAAGAGTAACAAGCACGAACTCTCACTTGACCACGACAAGCCTAGGGAGAAGGATGGATGCACACTTTGCTACTCTTATCTCACTAATGAGGGCTCTCTTTGGGATTCTCAATCTCAATCACCTCACTAGGACCTTGCTCTTCTTGGCACTCTCTAAGGTGTGTTTCAGCTGTTGGAATGAGCAAAAGTCGCTCCACACACGAGTGGAACTTCTATTTATAACATGGGCTGAAAAATGAACCGTTATGTGCCTTTGCGGGGTGACCGGACGCTCCGGTCATGTTGACCGGACGCTCCGGTCAGCTCAACCCGCACTCCAGTGTTTAAGTATTGACCGGACGCTGGCAGGTTCCGATCACCACTGACCGGACGCATCCGGTCGCAAATATCCCTCACTAGAACCTTACTGGAGTCGACCGGACGCTGGTCCTCAGCGTCCGGTCACTCGACCACTCAGCGTCCGGTCGTGCCAGACGCAATCTCCTTGGTCAAATAAACTGACCGGACCCTACGGCCAGCGTCCGGTTGCACCGGAGCCAGCGTCCGTTCAGTATTTGACCCTCCATTCACTTCCAACTCTCGATCATATGCGAATGAAGTTTGCTCCAAAGGATCTTAGGCATATTTAGGAGCTACCTAGTGCTAGTTTTAACAAGTGTGCACCACACCTAACTCACTAGACTCACCTAGGTCAAGCTACCTGTCCATACCCTCCTTAATAGTATGACCAAAGAAAAAACAAAGTCCTAAACTACTCTTAGTGTCTCTCCAACTCCAATCGACACTTAGAACTAGTCATCCTTAACCTTGTCGTCCATCCTTTGAAAACCAAAACGATTTCCATCGTAGGGGCATGACATCCATGATTGCCTAATCGATCTCTATTACCATGACCTAACTTAATTACCTCTGTAAAACACACATTAGTCATAGTAATCTTGTATTGTCATTAATCACCGAAACCCAACTAGGGGCTTAGATGCTTTCAGTCTCCCCTTTTTTGGTGATTGATGACAATACCATCTCGAGTATGTGAAAGAGTTGAGGTTTTTATCATGCTTGGATCATATAAGCTTTTGTCGATAAGAACAAAAGAGTTAGGCAAGCTTATATGACCCAAGGCAACATAATGTACTCAAAAGATATTGAATAAGCATGAGTACAAGTAATAAAGCTCATTTGCATCGGAGTATAGGCGCGGAAGCGAAGCAAATGAGCATAACACAAATGATATGACATATAAATAGTTATGAAGTAGAGAGCACACATGTCATATATCACAATCACGTAGATATCACTATCACATGGATATAGTTTAATGCATGAAGGTAAACACACGAATGCATAATAGTAATAGTGTATCACACAAATAAAACTCTAAATGTATATAATAGACTAATAGCTAACTAGGCTCCCCCTAAAAGTCGCTCCCCCTAAGTCTACATACTCGAACCCTCTCCTCCTTTGGCGTCAAACACCAAAACCTAAGGGCCGGTCGGCGGGGCTACAGCGGACGAGTCAGGCGCTGAAGTACGAGGAGCAAGCTGGAACTGGGCGGCATCATCATCTGACCCTGAGCTCTGTGCTGACTGACCCTCTGAGGCTAGGAGCGTCGCTAAAGTGATCTAGGTCTGAGCTGGGGCAGGTGCTACCTGTGATGCTGCTGCTATGTCTGTCGTAGGATCTGAAGATGCAACAGAAGAAGGGAGCCTCTGAGTAGTCACGGTGATGGGAGCTGTTGTAGAAGGACCTGGGGCATGCATATGTGGCGGTGTAGGCATCCTTGTCAACTCGCTAAAAGATGCTCCAAGACTCCTGGAGACTGACGTGTTAGGCACAAATAGCGAGGGTGACTGATCCGGTGTGAAACCCATCTGAAATGGTGTGAACTGCAGGGCTACCACTGGCGAGGATAACCACTGGGACACCTATATTGTGGGAGAAGCAAACTGAGCTGGAGGTTGTCCCTGACTCTAAAGCCCACTAGAATGTACTGCTGGAGTCATCATAGTGGTAGCAGGCTGACCAATCTAGGGCGAAGGCTGTGGCTATGGGGCCCCAATGGCTGTCACTATATGCTACATGAATCCCAAAAGCTGCTGCTGCATGAGTAACTGCTGCTGATGCATCTGCTGCTGCTGCTGCTGGAGGACCTGCTGCTATCGCTGGAACTCGTCCTGACGAGCCTGAAACTGTGCAAAGTTGGCAGCGGTCTCCTGAGCCTGTCTAGCCTGATCCTGCTGCATCCGCTCAAGGATAGCAATCAAAGCGGGGTCCGTCTACGGTGCAGGTGGAGCGGAGCTAGAACTGCTGGCCTCTGCATCATGTCTGCGTGGAGGCATCCGAGGAATAGGCTAGTAGTCATCGTCTGAGCTATCACTAGGCTCGCTCACCTCCTGATATGCCTCAAGCTGCTCCTCCTCAGTAGCGGCTATGCCTCTGATAATCTCGTCCTGCTGAGTTGCGGACTCTGGTACATCTAGACGATGGCGAGGCTAAGTGGGTGCCTATGGTGTGCTATGCCTGATCCTCTGTGTCATGTTATAAGCTAGAAACTCTGTGGTGGCACCTCTGTACTCTGCAACCATCTCTGGTGTCCTAACTTGCACAGCCTTGAGAATAAGGAATGTGATCCAATGTGCATATGGAAGCTGCCTGCGACCCTTGAAGCCCTCAGCTATAGTATCCTCCATCTCTGATAGAAGGATGTCCCAAATATCAAACACTGTCTACTGCATCAGGGCGTTGAGGAGCCAAAGCTAGAGGCGAGTCAAGCCCTCTCTGTATCCCATCCTAGGAAGTAGTGTTCTCCTTATGATAGCCTCTAGCACTCTAGTTGTAGGAGTAAGGTCACTGGGGTTCCTCCTCGACTCCTCACCAAAGGGCTCCTTGAAGAAATGGCGCACAAGATCTATAGGGGGCACCAGACCACCATGAGGACGCCTGGGAGGCTCTTGCTGTCCATAACATACTTCATGTAACTTGACAGGCTGCTCCTGTAGCCTCGGTATCTCCCTGGCCCTCTAACTCATCATCCTGTAGTCTCTGCCTCTGAATGTAAAGTGTATAAAGTTATGATGCGGGTCAATGTAGAGTGAAGCATAGAATTGTCGAACCCAAGATGGTACATATAATCCTGTCTGGCCAATCAGATCTATCAGCCCCGACCGATATGCAAGGTAGGGGCGAATGTGCTCTCCAGCTGCTGCGACTATAGCCTCTATGTTGCAGACTCTCTGAGATCTGAAGACTGCTCCACTGTTTAGATAGGCATTATAGAAATCTTCCTGGAGCAGTGTGTAGAATCCCTCAGATGCTCTCTCATCCCTCCTCGGAGGAAACCACACCTCAAACTCTACGAACCTCAGCTGCCGAACCTGCTTGGCTGTGGCAGCCCTAAAGTCAAGATGGGTCACTGGGGGCGGACCCTGTGGTCTAGACGGTGGACGTGATCCCCTCCGCTGTGTCGGCGGCCTCGGTGAGACTAGAACACGGGTACGACCAGAGCGTCGTAGCTGGGGCTATGGTGCCTGCTCTGTCTCCTCGGCCTCCTTGGCTTGCTCACCCTCCTAAGTCTGCTCTGCTGGCTGGGGCTGCTGCTGTGAAGCTCCCTGAGGCTGACCCTCATCAATAGTATAATGCTGTCCTACAACAGTGATAGTCCTAGGTGGACTACCAAGAAGGCGCTCAACTCGCTCTATCCCAGCCCTCGATGAAAGCGGCGGATCTGCAATCACAACCCCACTGCGAGCACCTCCTCTCTCGACACGCTCTGCGGCCTCTACAACTGCTACTGCTCGAGTTGTCTCTGCATCT